GTGGCCAGCTCAGCCCACCAGGGGGCGGGGCTGGCTGGCATGTGGTGCTGGGGATTGAACCTTGGTCCCTGTGCTTTGCTTAGCTTAGCTTGTTCCAAGTAGGTGCTTTAGACCACTGAGCCATCTCACCAGCCCTAGTTTTGTTTTCTTGAGACAGGGTGTTGCTTATGTACTCTGCATGCCTTGAACTCACTATGTAGCACAGGCTGGCCTCACACTTATGGCGTTCCTCCTGCCTCAGCCTCACGACTGCTGGGATTACTGACATGCACACCAAGCCTGCTTAGTTTTGTAGCAGAGGGAAAAAGACACTGAGGGGAAAAGACTTCCTAAGCTCTCTCACCATGGTCATGCAATTCTGTCTCAGTTACTCTTCTCTCATTGCTGGGACAAACACCCAACATGCAAAATGAAGGAAGGAAAGGTTTATTTAGCTCACAGTTACTGGAGGTTTCAGTACAGACTCAGCTGGCTCCAAGGCAGACTATTTTGAGAGTAGAGAAATCCTGAGAATGATTTCTGTAATCCCAATCCTCAGGAGATTGAGGCAGGAGGATCGCCATGAAGTTGAGGTCAGCCTGGGTTTCTTAGTTTAAAACAACCTGAATTATGTAGCAAGACCTGGGAGGATCAGTGCCTCTGTCTTCCCCAAACATCTCCTCTCTGCCCAAGGCAGCCTCTATTGCAGATGCCACCGCCCCAAGCTACAGGGTCTGGAGGAGAAGCTGGGGCACTGCAGCATCCAGGATGACCTGCTCAACACCTCAGTGAGGCCTCAGTGGGGGATGGGGCGGTTCCTGCCCTTTTTGCCCCACCCCCAAGCCCCGCCCTGGTCCTCTGGCCACACCCCGCAAGCCCTGCGCTGAGCGTCCTCCCCATGACTTACATGAGGCTTTGGGAGGACAATTCAACACAAACCATAACAACTTCTTTCACCCACAGAACAAACGAAAGAAGAGGAAGAAGAAGAAGGTTCTCGATCAGACTGTAGTTTCTGGTAATGTGCCATACAGTGCAGAGGAGCTGGAGGCTTTGTGGCCAGGGCTGGCTGAACAGCTGCAGTGCTGTGCCCAGGTAGGTGGTTGGAGACACCCCAGATTTTTTGAGGCACCTGATATGAGTGGACAAATAGCCTTATCCATCTCTAGGATCCTGAGCTCAGTGTAGACTCCATGGTTCCATTTGATGCTGCCTCAGAGGTCCCAGTAGAAGAACAGCGGGTAGAAGCCATGGTGAGGATCCAAGACTGTCTTCTGGCTGGCCAGGCTCCGCAGGCTCTGACTCTCCTGAGATCCGCCCGGTGAGCCCCACTCAGCGCCCTTCCGGGCTTTGGGAGACTTCATTTTGGTGCAGCATTCTCTCTTCAGCAGAGCGAAGTCCTCTTGGGCTCTGGTACCTAGAACTGAGCACTGACTTCTGGGAGCTTTGACTGGCTGCTTGGTGGAGTTTTTTGGTCTGTTTTTGAGAAATATTAGAAACCAGTTAATTGGAGGGAAAAAATAACTCTGCTAGCCAAAGAGAAGTCACCATTTTGATGAGTAAACTTCCAGAGTCTGCTGTGTATAGATACACACACAAAGCTCCTTAAGTGCTGACTCATAGTATTTTTTAACCTCTCCATATATTTCGGGCATCATTTTTCATCAGTTATATTTCCGTAATTAATGATTTTCAGACATCACTGCATACAGAGGCACATTTGCTGTCTGTGTATCAACATGTAGATTGTTTGCATTTTGTTCTTACATGATTTTCATTGCAGTGTGGCTTATGAGCAAAAATCTCCCTAGAGTGTGTTTCACCTCTGTGATGAGTTTGCATTCTCTTTCTGGCTGACAAATGAAATACATTTAAGCCAGGAACACTGGCGTCCGCCTGGGAGACTGAGGCAAGAGGATCACTGCAAGTTTGAGGCCAGGCTTGGCTACAGTGTGATCTCAAGAGGGCCCGGGGGGAGATAGATCAGTGGCATGAGGCCCTGCCTGGCAAGTGCAAGGTCCTGAGTTTGATCCCCAGTACAAAAAAACAAAAAACCCAGTGAGCTCAAGGCCCGCCTAACTGCACAGTGAGAGGACGAGAGAAATACATTTAAGTTCTTTCTCCAGTTCTAAGCATAACTCCTGTTTCCTGTTGTTAAAGCCTTTTTCCTCTGTCCTCCAGGGAGGTATGGCCAGAAGGAGATGTGTTTGGCTTTCCAGACATTTCCCCTGAGGAAGAGATAGAGTTGCTGAAGCAGATCCTGTCTGCTCCGCTTCCTCGTGAGTCTCTTCTTTTGCAGCCCTCTTGTTTTAGCAGCACTCTAGCACCGGCTTCGTAGAAACCTAGAAGTCCTCATTTGTTTTCCCCCCAGTACTGGGATTGAGCCTAGGACTTTCATACTAAGTCACACACTCAGCCATCCTTTAATTTTGAGAGAAGATCTCACCAAGTTTTCCCTGCTGGGTTCAAATTTGAAGTCCTCCTGCCTCAGTTTCTTGAAGTGCTGAGATGACATGTGTGCCACCACACCTAGCTAATCTTCACTTTTTGTATAGGGCAGCAGCAGGGCACAGAGGAAGGTGGTATAGAAGAAGAGGAGGAAGAGGAAGAGGAGGAAGAGAAAGAAGAGGAGTTGCAAGTTGTGCAGGTGTCAGAAAAAGAGTTTAACTTTCTGGACTACCTGAAACGGTGCGCACTGAGGCTGAGCTGCTCCCAGCACAGTGATCTTGCAGCTGTGGGGCTGGCTGGTATACTTGTGGTGCTGACCCCGCCTCCCTCCTGTCTTGGTGCAGCTTTGCATGTTCACACGTTGTGCGAGCCTACGTGCTGCTGCTGCAGAGTTACCGGCAGAACAGTGCCCACACCAACCACTGTGTTGTCAAGATGCTGCACCGGCTGGCGCACGACCTCAAAATGGAAGCCCTGCTTTTCCAGCTCTCCGTCTTCTTCCTTTTCAATCGTCTGCTTAGTGACCCTGCTGCTGGAGCCTACAAAGTGAGAGGCTGCCAGGGACTGGGGCCAGGGGGCCTGGGGCTGGTCTTCAGGTGTTAGAAGCCAGGAGGTAAGCAGGGCTGGCGGGCAGATTGAGGGAGCTGCCTAGGAAGAGCAAAAGAATCTGAGCACTCAGGAGGCTGAGGCAGGAGGAGCATTGTGAGTTTGAGAGCAGCCTGCATTACATAAGTGAGTTCAAGACCAGGCTACACTACATGGCAAGATCTCTATTTCAACAAGGATAAAAAAAAGGGGCTGGGGACATAGCTCAGTGACATAAACACCTGCCTGGCAAATGCAAGGGTCCGAGTTTGATCCCCAGTACTGCAAAAAAAAAAAAAAAAAGTCTGCATGAGCAGAGAGCATCTGTGTACAGGGAGGAAAAAAGTGCCTTGGAGCCAGCCAATCTGTGTCTGGGCTGACTGAGCTGTGGTGTCAGAGCAGCCTTCCTGCCCTATAGGAGCTGGTGACTTTCGCCAAATACATCCTGGCCAAGTTCTTTGCATTGGCCATGGTCAACGAAAAAGCCTTTGTGGAACTGCTGTTCTGGAAGAACACAGCCGTGGTTCGAGAGATGACTGAGGGCTACACTCTGGATGGCGGGTGAGCTTGAAGGTGGCGGGAGTGGGCACCAGAGGCAGGGAACATTTCCTTCCCTTTCAGAGGTGAGAAACAGGCCCAGAAGGTAAAATGCTGCTCTGAGTTTACCCGACAGGAATAGGACTGTAGCCTAAGTCTCCTGTCTACTCTAGTTTCTTTTGCTGTCATAGACAGCAGTTAGGGGTGGTTGTTGGGGGGAGGGGTTGTCATTGCCCCCCAACTTTGTATGAGCTCTCTCTGGCAATGTGCTGGGAAACCCTAGGATCCAAAGAAATTCTTGTCCTCTCGCCTTAGTATGTCAGCGTCTCTGTTTCCCACAGCACTCTCAGTCCTTGGAATAGGCCTGAGCTAGGCAGTCTTGTAGTTACCACACTGATGTTCCTAAGTGGAAGGAAGCGAGAAGGGTGCCACACATTAGAGCTCTGCTAACTGGTTCCACTGAGTTAGCTATCTCACTTTTCTTGTTCCTTTTTGAACTGCTCACAGAGGGCTTTGGTCTCCTCTGTTGGGCCAGCAACCTACATACACCTATTCCCCTTTCCCTTTTCAGGTCTTCCAGTTGTAGAGCTGCTGCGTGGAGCCTGGAGGAGGAGGCCCAGCTTCGGGAACTGTACCTCACCCATAAAGATGTAGAAGGTGTGGCACCTTGAAGGCTGCAGACTTTGAAGAGAGCAGCCTGGGCTCCAGGACCTGTCTTTACTGTATCACTCCTCCATCGCAGGTCAAGATGTGGTAGAAGCCATCCTGCCCCATCTTAATGCTGCTCGGACACGCAAGCAGGTCATCCACCGCCTGGTGCGGCTGGGACTGGCCAATAGTGTCAAGGACTTCCAAAGGTAGAAGCTTTTGCTTTGGAGGGAATGGGGTTGGACAATCCTCCATTCACTCCCTGGAGCACCTCTCCTACCAACACCCGCCCCCCAGTAGGAAAGGGACTAACATCGTATTGTGGACAGAAGACCAGGAGCTGGAGCTGCAGCGGCTTTTTGAGGAGTTCCAGGACTCTGATGGTGAGTGAGGTGGAAGCTAAAGGAATAGCTGGGGTGAGAGCCAGCCGTCTGCTTTTTGCCCCTCGGAGCTGCAGCAGCTTTTTGAGGAGTTCCAGGACTCCGATGGTGAGTGAGGTGGAAGCTCAAGGAATAGTTGGGGTGAGAGCCAGGCCGTCCACTTTTCGCCCCTCTTCTTCTTGTTTCCAGGGAAAGCTTATCCCATCCTCTCTTTCCAAAACTCGCTATATATGTGTCATATTGGAGGGAGTTCAGCTAACATCTTTCCAGAGACCTCTGATTTTTTTGTTACTAATCCCTTTCCCCGGTTGTTCTTGGGTATTCACACACTCCCTCTCCATAGATATCCTTGGTCATATCATGAAGAACGTAACAGCCAAACGCTCAAGGGCTCGAATTGTGGATAAACTTCTGGCCCTGGGGCTGGTGGCTGAGCGGCGGGAGCTGTACAAGAAAAGGAAGAAGAAGTTGGCACCCTCCAGCACAGTAAGTCTTGTCCAGACTCTGCTGGCCTAGGTTCCCCTGAGGTGCTCTCAGGGGCAGGCCACACACCCCTACCTCCCTTCCTCCTGTCTCAGGCTGTTTTTTTTTTTAAAAAAAATATATATATTTATTTATTTATTTATTTTGTGTGTATGTAGCCAGCTCAGCCCACCAGGGGGCGGGGCTGGCTGGTATATGGTGCTGGGGGATTGAACCGCGGTCCTTGTGCTTTGCTTAGCTTGTTCCAAGTAGGTGCTTTAGACCACTGAGCCATCTCACCAGCCCCTCTCAGGCTGTTTTGACAAGGCCTCTCCAGAGGGGAGGTCGGTAGACTTCACCATGCTCCTCATATTGTCTCCTTTTCATTTTCCACCACCCAATGAATTCCAGCCGGGTGCAGAAGGGTCTCTGCAAGACTTTGGGCAAGATCCAGAAGAAGAAGAAAACTTGCCAGAGGAAGAGAGTGAAGAGGAGGATGAAATAGAGGAGTTCTTGGAAGCAGAACAAGCCCATGGTAACTCAGTCCTCTCAGCTGAGTACCTTGGTCAAGGCCTGCATCAGGAAGGTGAGGACTTTTGTTGAGAGAGGTGGGTGTTGGAATGGAGGGTGGGCCAAATACATTTACTCTTTTTCCTTAGGCTTTTCTGCCCCGCTGCTGTGGCTCCAAAACTGCCTGATTCGAGCAGCAGATGACCGGGAGGAGGATGGTGAGTGGACAGATGTTGTTTCAGAGCCCTGGATCCCAGGGAGCCACTGCACCAGCTTGTGCAACAGAGGGCCAGCTTTTTCCCATGTGTGACTCTTAGTCCTGTTCTAGGCTGCTCCCAGCCAGTGCCGCTGGTGCCACTGACAGAAGAAACTGAGGAAGCCATGGAAAATGAACAGTTTCAGCAGCTGTTGCGCAAGCTAGGGATTCGGCCTCCTGCCTCTGTGCAGGCAAGTACTGGTCAGAGTGCTCAGCACAGTGCAGCGGTTGGCATCTGTTGCACCTGCTATCGTCTTTACTGTCCTCATGTCCCCTGTCCTCACTTCTTGTCCAGCAACTGTCCTGCTGGTCTTCTCTCTGCAGTCTCCTTCCCCCCAAATCCATGCTCTCTACTGCCCCCTAGATTTATCTTTTTTAATCTCATCTCCCCTCCCACTCCACATCCCATACAGTTTTTATCTTTCTAAAACAGTTTTCCTGGGCCGGGAAGATGGCTCAGTGGAATAAGCGCTTCCCTGGCAAGCGCAAGGGTCTGAGTTCAATCCCCGGTTCCGCAAAACAAACAAACAAACAAAAAACAGTTTTCCTGAGATCAGTCGCTCTTCTAGAGCACTGGGTAGCCCACAGAGGGCATGCCAGCCTCTGTGGGCTGTCAACCGTCCCATGACTTACCTGCTTTGCACCTGGCATAGTCATCCTTTCAAATGGAGGCTTTTCTCTGACTGTAAGCAATAATCATGCCAGTTCCTCTTTCAGAAAGCTCCAGCTGTGCAAGAATGGCCACAGCTATGGGGAGATGGCTCAGTAGAATAAGTGCTTCCCTGGCAAGTGCAAGGGTCTGAGTTCAATTCCTGGTTCTGCAAAAAAAAAAAAAAAAGAATGGCCACAGTTTCACACATACACTTGTACACATGTGCATGGACACACACATGCTCTTACCCCACCCATCCTCCTATTGAATCTCAGCCTAGGAGTCAGCTCAGGTGTTATTTCCTCAGAGAGGCAATCCCTGTTATCCTTTTAATCCCTAAAGTAGAAGTAATCCTTTACTTGGGATATCTATCCTTGGGATACCTGTAATCCCAACATTCCAGCGACTGAGGCAGGAGAATCATAAGTTCAAGGATAGCCTGGACTACAAAGTGAGTCTAAGGCCAGCCTGGACTACATAGGGAGGCTCTACCTCAAAAAAAGCATTAGGGAAAAAAAATGCAACATAGAGGAGGGACAGAAATACCCATGCCTGTGATTCCAACACTTGGCAGGCTGAGACAGGAGGATCACCACAAGTTTGAGGCCAGCCTGGATTACAGAGTGAGTTCAAGGCCAGCACAAACTGCATAGCAAGACTGTCTCAAAAAAAAGAAATGCACATGTGCAGCTCCCATAGCCAGAGCCCCACCTCTGGCCCCTTTGTTATTAGTTTGATGTAGCCTTAATCTAGTAAGTGTTACAGCACATTTATTTATTTTTTTGGCAGATTCATTCTTATTAGATTATGAGTTTCTTGAGATCACAGATCATATGGTTTACCTTTAGATCACCGAGATCCATTCGTTTATTTAGTTAACAGCTGTGTTTACTGGGAACCTCTTCATGTGGTAGACACTGTCCTAGAAAGAGGGTATGTATTATAGACAAACAGCAAGTAGAATCCATGATCCTTGTGGATCTTCATTAATGTGTGGTCTTATTTATTCAATGAGTAATAGAAAAATTTGGTGAACAGAGGCTGGTCCTTTTCCTTTGCTGTCATTTCCTCTCCCTCGCTGTTTCAGGGGTGCGGGGCGGCGGGGGCAGTACTGAGATTGAACCCAGGGTCTGCACACTGATCTGCATACCCAGCCCTTTTTACTTTTTACTCCGAGATGTAGTTGTGCTGTTGCCCTGGCTCTGCCGGAATTTATGATCCTCCTGCCTTGGCCTCCTAGAGCGCTAAGAGGTTAGGGCTGTGCATACCATGCCTGGCCCCTTTGCTGTCATTTTTAATTGCTGTCTCTGTAGGAAACCTTCTGGCGCATCCCAGCCAAGTTGAGCCCCACCCAGCTCCGCAGAGTGGCAGCTTCTTTGAGTTGGTCAAAGGAGCAAGAAGAAGAGGAGAAGCTACAGCCCGAGTTAGAGCTAGGCAGCCCTGCGGAGCAAGGCCTCAGCGAGGAAGACCAGCGAGAGAACCGGGCAGAAGCCCTCAAGGCCCTGTCATTAGCTCGGGAAAAAAAAGCGGGATTGGTATCACTGGAGGGTAAAGTATGACCGCTTACCCACTGACCACTTATTTGTGCCAGCCATGTTTTTTTGGAGGGGTGAGAAGGTATTTTGAGAATATGCAAGCCCAGTTCCCTAATTTTGTGCTTCTTCTGGTTACATTAGAAAAAGCTGCTGATGAGAAAGAGCAGCCGAAGGTGGTGCCTAAGAAGCGACAGCTGCTGGACAGTGATGAGGAGGAAGGAGATGAGGGCAGAAGCAAAAGCAGTGAGTCTTTTCCTTCTAATGTCTGTCTTCACTCTGAAGAAAAACTTTTCTGTTTCTTTTTCGCATATTTAGATACTATCTCGCCCTATCCTTCCCACAGCGCCAGAACTAGGAGCTCCAGTGATCCAAAAAAAGAAGCGATATCAGATTGAGGATGAGGATGAGGAAGACTGAAGAGCCAGGGGCAAGTCAGAGTTGAGAGGACCCAGAATCTATTCTTTTTTTTTTTTTTTTTGGCGGAACTGGAGATTGAACTCAGACCCTTGCGCTTGCCAGAGAAGCGCTTATTCTACTGAGCCATCTCCCTGGCCCCAGAATCTATTCTTAGTGGATGCAAACCTGGGCTCCTGAGCTCTTCCGTAGATCTAGGGCCTGGGAATTTTTAGTCACCAGTGTTGGAGAGACCGTTTTACAATCAGTCCTAGTTTTTCCCAGTTTTGGGCGGGAACTGGGGATTGAACTCAGGCCCTTGTGCATGCCAGGCAAGCACTTATTCAGCTGACCTATCTCCCTGGCCCTCTCCTAGTTTTGTTTTGTATTCATAATGCTGGAATCAGACACAAGCCCTGCCACATGCTAGATCAGTGCTCTACCGTGGAGGTACATCCCCAGGCCCTCTTCCCCCATTTTATCATTATGCCCATCCAGAAGCTCTCTGCAAACTGGCTCCTGGCTTCCATTCTAGGATACCTTTTTTTTTTTTTTTCTTTGTTTCTTTCCTTCTTTTTGGTTACTACAGACTCTTAGCAAATGAGAAGAAAACACAGAAGCCACCCTGGACCCCTTCTTTGCTCCATTGGTTGGTTGCTTAGTTGGTTAGTTTTGTGCTGCTAAGGACTGAACCCAGGGCATCTTACAGGCCAGACAAGCCCTGTACCACTCAGCTGCACCCCAGCTGTCTCCACTGCTCTGTTCTTTTTGGCTTTCTGCTAGAGGTGGACCCAGCACCAGATGGGGGGGCTCTACCATGATGCATTAGGGGGTTGCACTTTTTAGGAGGCACTTCACCCTCCTTTTTCCCGTGATCGCCTCCTAGTCACCAGATTGAGTCTAGTTACTGTAATTGAGGTGGAGCTAAGATGAAATATGTGTCACACGATGAATGTATTTGATGTGTTTGGCATTAAATTAAACATGTAAAATTAACAGTTGCAGATCTCAAGCTGAGTTCCCCAGCTATGCCCTGCTGGGGTTTTGGAAGAGCTTTAAAATATTACAGTTAAAAGAGATCACGAGGGGCCGGGGAGATGGCTCAGTAGGATAAGAGCTTGACCAGCAAACGCAAGGATCTGAGTTCAATCCCTGGTTCCGCCAAAAAAAAAAAAAGAGACCACGAGCCCTCCCTTTTCTTTCACTATAGAAGACACAGAAAACTCTCTTCAAAAATCCTCTTGCACTTGCCTGGCAAGCACAAAGGCCTGAGTACAATCCCTGGTTCTGGAAAAAAAAAAAAAAAAAACTCTTGTTCCCACCCATGATGATACACTCCTGTGATCCCAGCACTTGGGAGGCTGAGGCAGGAGGATCACTGTTAATTTGAAGGGAGCCTTGTCCACATAGTGAGTTCAGTACCAGCCTGAACTAGAAAGTAAAACACTGTTTCCAAAAATAAATCCTTAGAGCTTATGGAAGCTTCACTATGTAACCATGACTAATTAAATCATGGTTAATTGGCTGTTGGTTTATCAATTCAAATTGCTTCCTCTTTGGCTTCAGGCATTGTATGTCCTTAGGAAGTCAAGGGTGGAGGTGGGACTGAAAGTTGCAATTTCCTGATCACATGGTTGGTTCCTATGGCAACCAGGCCCCATCCTGAGACCACATAGAGGTCCCCAGCCACCAATCCTTCATTAGCACTCCCATCATTTCAGGGGTTCCAAGGAGGTGTATGTCAGCAAGTGGGATGAAAATAAAATATATATTTCACAACATTTCAGTCCCTTTCTCACTGTCAATATAGTTTATCACTTAATAATTTATCACTATCTTATCTCTTTATTTTTTTTATTTTTATTTTTTTGAGAAAAGCCAGCATAAAGCACTTTTATTGCAATAATAAAACTTGAAACTCATGTGGTATGGGGGAGGGGTGGTGCTGAGGGTGTGTGGAATGGGCAACAAAGCAACAATGTCTCTCACCAAATCACTACACAGGACAGCAAAGGGTGAGAAGGGACTGAGGGAAGAAAAGCCAGGGAACTCTGAGATCAGCAGAGTGAGGCCAAGCATTACGAAACAAAACCTCTCACAAAAACAAAACAAAAAACAAGGGATGCTGAAGCTGTGATGACCAGCATCATTATCTTAAGAGAACACTCAAGGATTTGTCATGGTGGCAGGGCTTTCATTGGGTGATTAAGTCTACAAACAGCACCTTCAATTTAAACTTTCAATTAAAGTTCTTAAAATTTAGGTTTTCTGGTTTGTTTTTTTTATTTTTTTTTTATTTTTATTTGTGTGTGTGTGTGTGTGTGTGTGTGTGTGTGTGTGTGGCCAGCTCAGCCCACCAGGGGGCGGGCTGGCTGGCATGTGGTGC